TCTGAAGAAAATAACTTCATAAGAACTAGTTCGGAAAGCAAACTACTGTTTGTATTGAGGATTTGGAAACGATTTGTCCAACTGGATACGACATTCGACCATCTAGTACTGATATAATTTGCCTGTATGGAAAATCAACCAACTTGTCTATTCCTGGATGGAACGGTTTTATGGAGCAAGCGACTTCAAACAGAGAAAGCGAACGTTCCAAGATTGCTTTCTTCCCGTTCATAAATGCAACGCCGAGCCTCTTAGTACAGGTAGTATTTACTTCACTCCTAGAGGCTAGTAAAAAACGTAAGGAATTAATCAGAAAACTTGCTTTGTGGCAATTGATCAACCTCTATACATTTGATTAAAGCAAAGGAAATTATGCATAGTGGAAAATTTACCGAATTGGAGAATGTTATTGTAAGGCTTGGAAGATTTCACTTATTGATGTCATTCATGGGTACCATTGGAGAAATTATGGCTGGAAGTGGCCTTAAAGAGCGTTTTGCCTGTATTTTTGCTGAGAATAGCAACATGTTGATATGAGGCGAGCTCGTATCTATAGAGATCACGCAGATACTCGTAAAATGAAAAGATTCCCCTTTCCCAATAGCTGACGTCATTATCCCGATCAGCTCTGGTGCAGTAGGCACCCAAAATGTAAATTGCCATAAATCGCAAGAGCTGGGAATAGCCTCAGTTGCCAATATTATCGGGTTACATTTTGGAAATTTGAAGCTGAAGACGAGCAATTAGCTTCCGAACACAATTCTATCAGAGTTGGAGATAAAAAGTGATGATGTGATGATAACGTTGATCCAGAGGATTTGCAAGAATTTTTCAAATTTGAACTGGCTCTTATCCGATGTCTTTATTTTAGGAAAAGGGAATGCGAAAGGGTACAAAGTCGTCTTTGTATGCAGCATTTTCACAGCTACCAGAGGCTGATGTAAAAGAGCTTCCTTCAAATCGTACAGTAGTAGTAGACGGCGGGTTTCTTCTCCACAAAGTTGTTTGGGATAAAAATAGTATACTTATAGTTTTTGTATGAACTTTGTGCAAGATACGCGACCTGCGTTCGAAAACATTACGGAGCGAATGTTTTTTTAATTTTTGACGGCTATCCTACTGATTCTGCTAGTGGTACTAAAGGTGCTGAAAGATCCCGAAGAAACAACGCGAATATTCCAGCTGATTTCATTTTCGATCAATCAACAATCAGTCAAATAATTCAAGAAAAGTTCTTATCCAATGAAAATATCAAACGATGCTTCATCTCACTATTGAAACAACTATTAATACAGCACAATATCTCCGTGAAACAAGCATATGAAGATGCGGATGTACTCATTGTAACGACTGCAATGACACTCTCTAAAACATGTGATGCTGTGGAGATTATGGGAGAGGACTCCCGATATACTTCCGCAAACCTGGAAGGGCCGGTGCACCAGACTAAGTGTTCTCTACATCATCATATAACTACGCTGCGCCCGAAAATTTGCGAATCCTCATCACCTTGTACGGTGGTGAAATGGGAATAACTTTGGAATTGTTACGATTTGAGCTATTCATTGAGGCAGCTACTGGCAGTAGAGTAAATTTGTTTATGCTACCATATACACACGATGCTGCAATGTACCACATTATTCTCCGAAGTTACCAACAGATCCAAGCATGGCTGGGACACTACAAAAGCCCTTTGAACTGGGGTTGGAAAAAAGATAGTAGAGGGCTTGTACCCATTCGTACAACTATAAGGAAGCAGCATCTCAGTCAATTTTAGTATACATTTCGTGCTAGTGCAAGAAAATTTGTTCAAAAACATGTAGTTGTCGGAAAGCGAGGAAAGTGAATCGACAGAATTACTTTTTCTAGAAGCCGATGCAGATATAGCAGCAACGATCTAATGAATTTTTATCATTACTTTATATGAACATGGATAGTAAATATTTTTATTTCATACTATCTAGTAATCGCCGCTTTCCCAGACTGATTTGAGTCTGGTAAATCGTATTTTACCAGACTGAAAATTTTTACCAGACTGGAAATGTTGCCTAGCAACATCAATTGACATCTATCTAAACCTATGTATTAATGTGTCAAACTACTGTCAGATCAAACAAATCAAGTGATCAACTTTTGCTTTCAATTGAACACGTACACGTTCTAATCAAAAATTGTATGGCATTTTAATAGAAAAAAGAGCAGTATGAAATAATAGTATATTATATACCGCGGGACTGAAGTAGTACTTTTAATCCCGAAGGTAAAGTTTATGGCCCGACCGAAGGGAGGGCCATAATTTACCTGAGGGATTAAGACCACTACTTCAGTCGCAAGGTATATACGATATTTTTCGTACTTCCTAAACTGATACACTAAAATCTGTATGGAGTTAGAGAACGCGTTCTTTCAAAAAATCGCTGCATAACAAGTTACCATAGGAACGTTGCGTTGGTATGACAATCCCTATGTTATGGTAACAAAAATAATTTGGAAACTGTCATTGCTAGTGTCATCATTTTGGTGGTAGGGTGTATTTGATATTGATAAAAAGCAGCCAAAGTAGGTAAAGAATTGATACCACCGAAATCCAAACAACTATATGAGCAGCAGTACGATGCATTTAAGAAGTAATGCCGCATACAAAATGTGAAACAACGTACTGAAATTGCCTTGTTAGTAATTTCATCCTTCCGGGATTTTCGTCCAAATTTAATCCCGGCGGGACAAAAAGTGACACTTCAGTACTTGTCATAAAGGAGTGAAGTTGTCACTTTAGTCTCGGAAGTACGAAAAATGTTTTTTTGCACTCCTTCGTTCTAAATCGCGTTTTCCCAATCAAACACGAACGTCGGGAACGTCAATTTTACAATTGACTATCTACTTTCGCGCACTAGTGCCTAAAAATTCAACGAAATTAACTATTTAGTGCGAATCATAAACTAATAAGTAGCATGATGGAAGAGTAAAAGAGAAAATATAAATACACTTTACATCATTCCCTGTAGTACACGGGCAAAAATAAGCTTAAACCAGAAGTTTTTAACAATAAATTGACATTTTAAATTTCTACTTTATCGGCATAGAGGACTTGATTTTTTCAATAGAATTATAATGTCGCAAAAATCTCGCGAAAAGGATTTGAATTTATATAAATTCGATTTAACTAATCCGTGCAAAAAATAGAATACATTTTACGTGCGTGAACAGTATTTGCTTGATTCGCGCGAGATGCGTCGCTCGTGCGCGTTGCACACTCGCGCCGCCAAACTTCGCGCTCATCTTCAAAATAACTGTTCCCGCACTAATAATGTAAATAACTATTTTCACTACTAGCGTCTGATGACATGATTATTAACCTTTTTTCCACTTGTAAAGTAGGCTTTCTCGGCATTTGTTCAAAGTGGTTAATAATTTTTTATTATCAACTAGTAGTCAATAATGAGAACTGTCACGCTGTCACTTTTAGAAAACACAACCCGAAATTTCGCTCAATGAACGTTTAGACAAGTTCTCTAAAACGAATAATTGCCACCATTCGCAATTTCCAGAGAAATTACATACCTAAAATTATCACATTTTGAAAAAATTCGAACGAAATTACTCTTTACAAATCTCAATGACAGAACAAAATACGGCCTGTTTGACTTGTACTTCCACGTACTTGATTGACATGTTAAATTAAGAAACAAACAATTCTGTCCAACCGTTAACTCTCTTATCAATATAATATGTTAATTTAGAGGATTTAGAGTGCTAGTAGTGAAAAAATAGTATATATACCACGGTAGAGAAGTCTATTATTGCCTTCGCACCTTACACCCCTCGGCGCAAGCGCCTCGAGATGTAATCTTGGTGCTCAGGCAATAATAGTGGACTTCTCTACCTTGATATATAATGTACTATTACATTATTTGTATGTTAAATCAGTTAACGTTACTCGTTTCGAAATTCCTGCCTCAGCTACGCTTCGGCAGTAAACATCTCACTCTTTAACGTAAACCTTGATTTACCATACTCATATGTAAATAACTATTTATTTGAAATGTGTATTCCGAAATGTCATGATCTAAGTGTTATCGAGCAATCATCAACTGAGGATTAAACTATTCATTTCAGAGTTAAACTTGAACGTGAGGATTAAAAAATATAATTAATAAGCGCTGATGTACTTGCTAGTAACGCATTAAGCGCCACCAGGGGTTGAAATATTCATCCCTTCCAGTATGGGATGGAGGGGTTAATTAAACTAAAGTGAGACATTTTTTATTTCAAACGTATATTCGAAAGCCGTACAATGCGACAGTGATTCAAATATCACCACTAGGGGTTGAAAGTTGAATTATTATGCATCCCATTTGGTAGGTATGCAAGGTGGGGGAATGTATGACACCATAAGTTAAAGATACTTTTCCATACGACTTTTCAATTTCTCCATAATATAAGCAACTTTGAAGCTCTATATCTTATTAAATAAAAATTACACAAAAAAGAAGTGTATATCAAATTTATGTAAAATTTCATGGTCTACAATTTCTGCTAACAATATATTTTCTTCCTAAAGTGAACCTTTAAAAAGATATGATTAAAAATCAAAAAACCAACCAAATTTCGGAGGCTTTAGGGGTCGTACGGGGGAAGCACAAGGGTTGGTAGGTCGAAAACTTGGATTCTTATCCACCAGATGACTGTTCCAAAAAAAAATGGAACTACTTCTCAATTTGCAAGTTAGAAGTCTATTACCTGGACTAGTATGAATTTTATTGAAAATGACTGAATTTTGAAGTGGGGTTGTGGGGAAAAATGTTACAGCAAAAGGAAATAATACCTCTCTTGCCATTTAAATCGAAAAATTCGGTGTGCTTCGTCATTCCGTTATAAACTTTGCGCATTATTAAGACGTGTTCCAAAACTCAAGACTAGACATACATACGTTGTATTTAATAATAATTCGGCAATTGTTGAAGAAGCGAATAATTAATTAAATTGTGTTATGCTTACAGGTTTGGTTTCAAAATAGAAGAGCGAAATGGAAAAAGCGGAAGAAGACCACAAATGTGTTTCGAACACCAGGAGCACTCTTACCTTCCCACGGCCTTCCTCCCTTTGGCGCAATGGGCGATGGTATTTGTGGATCGGGCATGTTTGGTTCATCCGACTCACGGTGGGGTGTTGCCAGCATGGCAACTGGTAATGTTAACTACGACATCTGTTATTCCCTAAAACCAATCGCGTTTTTTTAAGGATTGGGCCAGCTCAGTCAAGGTGGAGTCTCCATGGGAGGCTTTGGGCAATCCTTAGGACAATTAAACCAAAATTCCGGGCTTAGTGCAGCATTACCTATAACAACAGCGACCGCCAGTACTGTTTACCAAGCACATTACGGACTTAATTCCCTCGGTAGGTAATAATTATTCCCCACAGACGAAAATATAAGTGCTCGTTTATAATATCTACCTTCAACGAGTCGCAGACGTAACTAAAAATCAAACAAACCCAAGCAAGACGTTTACATTTGACACCTTCCCTCGAAAGTAACAACTCAGTGCAGCATTCCACTTACAGTGGCGCGGAATGTAGGGGGGGACAATGAAGGTGCAATTAGCGGTGATTAGAGATGAACTCGTTATCTGCTACCGAAATACGCACCAACGGCTCTAATTACCTACGCATACATCCATGAGCATTAACAAAGTTTACAACGACCACGTTTTGAAAATTATTTAAGTCTACCTTAAATTACCTTTCAAAGATTTTCATTGTACTTCCAAGGAGTGTTTGAGAAATCAGACGACTTTCCTTCAGAACAGTTTGTTTGTTTAACTAAAATCACTACCTGGCCAAATTCTTGCTCCTGAAACTACTAAATATTTTATACCTAAGTATATGAAACGATTTTATCCCGTAGGTAAGTGTGAATGTAAAAATTGTAAAATGTGAAAGTAACACAAAAGGTACAAGCTACGAGCGCACTGAAGATGTAATTGAAGTAAAGGGTTAATTTCTATAAAGGGTAGCAATTGATCACGTGATCATGTGGCTTATGTCAATACTGTCTCTGACCATGCTGTCCGCAATCGCTCTTCCTTCTGACCGAAACAAATCTCGCCAAACCGCATTGCGCTAACGTTTGTTATTTGATCGGAAATTACTTACGATCCATTGCCATTTGTCCGTCCATAGTGTTATTTTTCGTTTAATCTTTGCTACTGTACTAGTTCTGTAGGTATACAGGGTGATTCACGCTTTTTATTTTTAACAGACATACTCGTATTTTACTTATTGCGAGTACAATTATACAAGGTATACCTAATATGTAGGAACTGGTTTTTTTGAAAATAATTCTTTTGTTTCGAAGACACAAAGACACGAATTTGTGGTGTATTCAGATAACGTATGAGCGATTATTTTGTGCAGAGGTACCTATTTGTGGAAAGTTGAGTATCTGCGGAGTCCATTTTTTTAAAGAACAATCTTATTACATCGATCGTTACAAATTACACTAATTGCTTTACACGATGTTCCTATATTATATTACTACCAACATTTTTTTTTTCTTTTGTAATTAGTAAATTACATAACTAAGGGTTTTAAAACTTCCCTTCATTTAACAAAGCGTTGAAATGTTGAACTAGAGTTGTACAGAACAAAATCAATTGACATTTTGCTATCGGCTAGCTAAATCTTTACCAAATGTAACCTTTTTAACGTATTTTCCTCAAAGTGAAAAATCGCTATTGGCGTCCGTCCGTCCGTCACATGTACTCCTTCTACACCACTGAACCGATTTGGACTCATTTGAAAGGGCTTGGTTTTGGTTTTGCGTATGCGCAGTGTCAAAAATTTGGTTTAACGCATGTGCAATGCTAACTTTTTTATTTGCCAACTTCCTTGTTTACGGAATCTAAATGAAATTTAATATATAGGCACTTGGAATACAAGCAAATCTAACACCAGTTTTAATATTTGGTTCTGCGCATGCGCAATGGTAACTTTCTTATTTATGGAAGCAGTTAAATGAAATATCATATGTAGACACTTCGAATAAAGTGCTTGTCTTTGTACATGAATTTTTTACAAATAATAGTGCGATTCACGCTTAAAGTTCGATATGTAAATCATAGTCGTAAATTACACAGCGTTGTTAAATAAGGTACCTAAAGGAATTGCCTTTACCTGCTTCTATTGTTGAAGTACCTAACTTTTAACGAAATTGTTTCTTTCCTCGAAATAGATGTAATAGTTTTCTCCAACCCGGGTCTTTTGCCAGACAGCAACACATTTGACAACGCTACTTCTTATAAGACCAATACCGAACTTCAAGTGTGAATCGCACTATAGGTATATTTTGGTAAAACCTTTTAACGTAATCTAAATTGAAAGTGCCATTTTTTTATGAATTAGAATGGTTTGAATTCTTAAATTTGGCGAATACACATATATTTTATTTATAGTAATTAATGGGCCCATGAATTTGTCAGATTTATAAAAATTCTGAATTAAACTCTATGGCACAAATATATGATTTTAATGACCTTAATTACATGGACGGTCTTATGGACCTTAACTTTCAGGGCAGTGCATATAGTACAACAATCCGACAGCAACTGCAAATCGTGAAATCGAAAAAATGTTCTGGTTTAGGGGTTAGTTTCATTAATAATCAAATGTATGCACTCTCGTAAAGGAGAAAATCGAACAGTTTTTTAGCGCATTTTCCAACGAAGTTGGGTGCGCTATTGCAACCACTTTTTCTGTCCCTCCGTGTGTCCGAGGCCTTAAGTACTCCTACAGTTTTCAAGATATTTAGTTCGTTTTTTGCATTCGGTAGCGTATAGCTCTGGCACATCAATCAAGGAAAATCTTGACGATTAAACTGCGCATGCGTAAATTGCGCAATGGCAGCTTTCCTATTTATAGAAATATATTTTGGAAATTTTAACCATACATGTCTCTAGTAAAGATAAGCATATCGCATATTGTAAATATCATATATGCGCAAGCTGCGCGACCGTCAAATTCCTTATTTTTGGAGATATATTTTTTTTAATTTTATTAACAGATGCTTCTAGGAAAGATAACCGTATCGGGTAGCTGAACCAAAAAAAATGTTGATAATTAAACTGCGCATGGGCATTATGTCCGTTCTGTGACCTTTTGAGAACTACTGATCAATGCATGGAAAATGCGCTAAAGTTGCTCGCCTTAAGGCGAAAACCTTTTTACTTTTTTTTTAAATTAATTAAATCTAGATGTAACAGGAGAGTGTTTCAATTCACCGTATTTCTTAAATGTGATAACCAAATCAGTCACTGTTATTTTACCTTGACCAGGGCAAAGTTAATTCAGTTTCACTTCGTAATTTAATACACAACGAATGGGAAAAATGTGTTTTTTCACTACTAGCGTCTGATGACATGATTATTAACCTTTTTTCCACTTGTAAAGTAGCCTTTCTCGGCATTTGTTCAAAGTGGTTAATAATGTGGACATTATTAACTAGTAGTCAATAATGAGAACTGTCACGCTGTCACTTTTAGAAAACACAACCCGAAATTTCGCTCAATAAACGTTTAGACAAGTTCTCTAAAGTGAATAATTGCCACCATCCGCCATTTCCAGAGAAATTGCATACCTAAAATTACCACATTTTGAAAAAATTCGAACGAAATTACTCTTTGAAAGTATCTCAATGACAGAACAAAATACGGCCTGTTTGACTTGTACTTCCACGCACTTGATTGACATGTTAAATTAAGAAACAAAAAATTCTGTCCAACTGTTCACTTTCTTATCAATATAATATGTTAATTTAGAGGACTTCAAGTGCTAGTAGTGAAAAAAATAGTATATATACCACGGTAGAGAAGTCTATTATTGCCTGAGCACCAAGATTACATCTCGAGGCGCTCGAGATGTAATCTTGGTGCTCAGGCAATAATACTGTACTTCTCTACCTTGATATATAATGTACTATTAACGTTCCGCACGATATATTAAGAGACTTCTTTACTTGAAATATTCTTTGTCGCCCAAACAGTTGTTATTTATGAATTTTGTAGTTGCATACGTGTTTAATTTCCTTCCCGGCGTTCGAATGTCTATCCACTAAATGTTCACCAATAAAATTCTTTGCTTTTAACTAACACTGGGTTATCAATGATAACCCGAACGCAAAAAAATTTCAAGCCCGAAAATTCAGCTTACTTCTGGTAGCTAGTGTGATGCCAAGAGCATAATTAATTTTTTTTTAATCGGACTAATCTCTCCTTAGTTTCTTCGTAAAATTTTGAACGCCCACAATGGCGGATTAATTTTTAAAATGGCGATATCTAATTTTTCATTGGTTAGTTCCTTTTTCGTTACCAATCCTAGACGTTTTCCAAAACCCACGCAATCCCAAGAAACGTACACTCTGCGCTACAAACTTATCTCGTGACTAACTCACTAATGTAATGTTACATCCCTAATAAAAGTCTGCAAACCTATCCCTACCCCCACTATCTAGTCGCCAAAAACAATTAAATCTCATTGTAAACCCCTGCGTAACAATGACACATATTTAGTTAACTCCAATCATCTAGATAAATTCTTTACATTATTACGGCCAAGATTTGTTTTGGAAAATACTACAAAACCTTGATACCATCAACAACTATAACAATTCTACTTTACACATTTCTGCGAAACATAGTGGTTTACAAACTATTTCAACCAACGGCCTCTTTGAAATCGTTGACTGTAAAAATGAAAATTAAAAAGTGCAAAAAAATGGTTTCGGGAGAGTATTTGAAGGGTATTAAGAAAGGCACTAGGTAAAATACAAGGCAGGTGTTTGTGGTTTGTGGTTACGAGTGGAACTTTGTTGGCAACAAAACGAATCCTGAAAATAATAAAATTCGAAATAAAAGTATAAAGTAAGTTTGTTTGTTCTTAACCAACTCTTAGACTGCTTAAAATGCATCAGAAAACCGCCTAAGTTTCGCTGACTGGTCTATGGCTATAGAATTCTGTTGTCTCACCGTCTTTATGCCCTCCCCAAATTGTATAAACCAGGTATCCTTATGACCCCACTTCTCTTACTTTAACCACTTCAGACAATTCTGTTGACATTGTCAACTTATTTACCAGTGTCCCCTCTAAAGATTGCCTAGACATCATCACCGATAAACCTTCACATTCTACGCTTTCTGGGAATGTGGGATCCTCATCTTTTACAACTGAAATTGTTTATTAGCAAAACTCTAGTTATTCCCAAATTACCGGTCTCCATATGAGCAACAACTTTTCCCCGTTATTTCTAAACAGTTAGAATTTCAGTTGGTCAATTATAATATTATAAAGTCCCATTCCATTTTTTATAAACATTATATTGAAGCAACAAGGCAACATAACCACCCTAAATGATTGTTCCAATATCATTCCAATCCTGACATCCCCACTTTAATCTTAAATTCACAATAAGGATCGAAACTTTCAATAAATCCCTGCATTTTCTAGACTTAACACTCCTTCGTCTAAAATCAGTGCCTATAGAAAACCTATAGGTTGTCCCCTTCGATGCCATTCGTCCCTTAACACACAAATTATCCTCCTTCTGATTCATTTTCCACACACAATTTCCAAGGCCAATAAATATGCGATCAATTTGATAACCAATCTCATCCAGAAATGTGCACCTAACACCATCACCGTTCCCAAATCACTTTTGCGCCCTTAACCTTACCTGATTTTCAATTTCTTCTGCAATCTACTGCGTAAACAGCACATCCCCACTTCCTCTTCGTCTCCCCGCAGGGTCGGCTCGGTCTACGTCCACACTACAGATACTGCTGACGTAGGTCAAAGTATACTATACCCATTATAATGAACAAATAAAGTCCCTTAAAACCAATAATATTTACCAAAATGACATGTATAGTTACGGTCTGTATACTTCTTTAATTTTGATTATTTAATTGTCTCTCAGACTACGTTAAAGTTTGCTGAATTTTTTTCTAACAATAGTTGTTGTACTACTAAATCTCTAAAATGTTGTCTACTCTTAAGTAGACGGAGTTAGAGCAGACGGTGTTCTACCAACTGTATTCACAATGCTCTCCGAATCCAAACTCGAACTGGAATGCTCATGGATACAGCATCTAACTCACTACACAAAGCTCATTTCCAAACAAAGACACGTTCTTCTCAGGGAAGAGATTGCTTACGGAGCATTCATACTTTACAAAACCTCTAGTGAGTGTTTCAGAATATTAACAATACCAGAATAATTTTTAATGATCAGAAAATATTTCAAAAATTATGATTAACCTTTGACAATTATACTTGAAACGGGTTCATTCAAACCTAAGAATCTCGGCCAGAGAACTATTGTGAAGAACGTTTAAAAATATTTAAAACGTGAGGAATTTTTTTAATAATTTACAAACCTTTGAAACCTATTCCAAACACCCCAATTTTTATAGATCTTTCAGAAAACACTTCTGGAAAAGCAAAACAAACGTTTAAAAAAAACCTATAAACGTAGTAAAAATTATATATTATCCACTATACAATTACAAGTATCCATGCCGGAATCTGGATTTGAACCAGGACCGTTAGTACCTCAGTCGAGTTTCCATGCCACTGTACCACACAGACTGGCATCTATGAAAAAATCTGAAGAATTACAGACCTCTGAACTAAATTTGAACAATTTTTGAAAAGAAAAGATTTTGCCAAGAATCCATAAAAAAATTTAATTGTTAGTGTTTCAGACCATTTTTTAAAAAAAGAATTGATTTATATGTAAGGAGAAAAAAAACATTAACCACACTTTTGAGAATTTCTTTGAAAATAATACTCTAAATAATCTAATAATACACTAAAATCTTTCAAAATCATTCTAAAAATAATTTCAGAGAACATCTAAACAATATTTGGCAGAACCATTGGAACCTCCCCGAAATAGCTCCTCAAAAATCTGTGAAAAAACTCCAGAGAATATTTAGTAAAAATCTCTGAAGCATGATACAGAATGCAACAATCTTTGCCAATAATTAAAATATACTTAACACCCCTAGCAACACAATTCCGTATAAAAGCGTTTATTGTAGACTAAACCCTACGTATATAATACGCATAAATGTCCAGCGGATATTGCTGTATTCTTGTAGGAATATTATGCGTTTATTATTTCCCATAATATACGATTTATGCGTATATGAAAGTGGTGTTATGTACGTATTATCAGCGTAGAACGCGAACTGTATACGGTTTATATTTATGAATAAAAATCGTATTTTAAATATAAAATTCACTCTACACAAAAACGTAACACCACCAATACTGATTTTCTCCCATCGTCAAAGCGCTTTATAAACGTAAACGTAAGTGTGTTTACTGGGCAGGTACTGAATAACTCAAAAACTCTGAAAGTACAAATCGTATAAATGATTCGGTAAAAAATAACACCAAATGAGTGCAGTGAATATTAAACCACTGATTGTAAAGTGGCAACTTTTGTTTGATAATTACAATCCAATCATGCGTGGCACGTTTCTGCTTGCAGGTGATTCCATGATGAGTTACTGCAATAACACCAGCGGAGGTAATGGAAGTGGCGGGGGAGGGTCGTCTCCTCAAAATCCCTGCTCGGCCGCTGCTACCCCACCGGGCGCGTCGGCGACAACACCCAACGATCCAGAGGATGACATTTGGAGAGGGCATAGTATAGCAGCACTACGACGAAGAGCGTCCGAAATTAATGCAGCCATACCTTCTTACTTACAAATTAACTACGACACACACAATAACGCATCTGTATATTAATTTAAAAAATAATTGGTTTCGTTCACTTAATTAGTACAAATGTTTAAACAGTTTCGTCTACCCTACCAAAAATCATACCACCTTAAACGTAGTAGGAAAAACTAGAACTAAGTTTCAGTAATTTTTAACCTGTAGTTGTGGACATCTTGTATGTATACGATGTAAAATAATTTCTGTACAAAGAGGGATCGTAAAATAAGTGTTTTCTAGTGGAAGTACTTAAGATATTGTTGTGAATTTATGTTAACAACAAAGGATAAACGGAAATTTGTATTTTTACGTATTTAAATCATAAGTAACAGTATACGCTTTTTTACAAATAGATTATTATATTATAGTAAAACAAAAAGTATAAATTTCTCGTTTTCCTTTTAATTTCTTTGAACTCGCATACAAAAAAATAAATTATTTGTATGTGTACGGTCTTGACTTTCGTAGTACCTTTCGTTTTCGTTATTTGTAAATACAATTACAGTCGACAAGTATAGTATCTTATAGTTATGGGTAAAATAAATTTTAATTATATACGTATTTGGTTTGTATATTTGTGGAGAAATAATAAAGAAATTTTTTCAGGCAACTTATCTACCCTGCCCGTATAGAATCTGCAATAGGGGTGACATCTAAATAAGGGTGGTTAAACTATAAAAGCCACTGAGAAACCGTAGAGAAAGCACCCTCTATCGAAACCCAAAACAATATCTTATCATGAGATGGGGTTGTATACGCGTTTACTTCACAGATAGTAATCTTTTTAAGTGGTTATGGATTTTTGCCAGATGTTTCAAATGTAATCCTCCGAATAGCGTACAATTTAATTATTCACAGTAATACAGTAAGTACAGAAAAAGAATTGACAGTCTGCGGGGTACTTTTTAGTCAAATATCAAACAAAGTAAGCGAATTTGGTAACCATATTATTTAAGACGCTTAATTTTTAAAGTACACTCACACCTTTAAGCTTTGCCTGAAGACGACAGATGCCGAAACATATTGTAAACTTTAATTAATTAAAGGTATGGGTACTGGTTTTGTGTTTTCGTCAATTTTGATTGCTTATATAGCATAGAATTAATCTTCTAGAAAAATCTAGAAAACTTTGAAGGCATATCGTATTTCACACAAAGAATGCCTCACATCTGGTTTCATGCCTAGCAATTTATCGACTTGATGGCGCCTTGATATCGTTCTAGGAAAAGCACACTGTCTCTTTCTTCATCTTGCAACATGAACGACGGCTGTATCGGATTTCGGATACCGTCCTAGGTGACTCTAGTTCTATCACGTTACCTCAACGGCTTTGTACATGTTCCATTTTTAAGAGGAAGCAATTAAAGGACGATTGTAGGGAACCTCTGGGGCTGAAACAGCCGACCAATATTTCTATGGGGGTATCGTGAAACGCTACCTCCAGCATATTGCGCATGATGCGCGAGTGTAACTTGTCAGACCACATCCGAGCTTCGGAATTGTCAGCGACCAAACCGGATGTTGAACTAGACGATAATACCCCGGGACATTTTGACTTCCTTGGCTACACTGGCGCCTTTAAATAATTAGGCTCCTCACGGGCAACATTGAAGCGTGCTTTCAGAGTGCCATGAGTTCTGCGAAAGTGGAGTATTGTGGTTTAGCTTGCATCACATGTGATCCTTTTGGATGCTCCTCGGGATCATAGTATCCCACGTATAGATTCAACCGATTAATATAATACACTACTACTGCAGGGTATTGGAGCCATTTATCTCTTGGCGACGCTTGCGGTCCTTCCCAAGCTCTTTGCAAGTTCGGAAACCGCCTGCGTCGTCCCTGGGGGCGATACAGCCATAGCAGATCTCTGAGATGATAATCACAAGCATGGGCCTTCACGTAGTACTGTACATCATTATATCGCTAGTCAACGGCAAATTAGGGCGAACATTACCATGAATGGCATCTAATTTCTGACGCAGGTTTTCAACGTGCTCGTTTCCCACAGTTCCTTCTTGACCAGCTCTGATCTTGCAAATGCCCAATAGTTGGCACACGCTTTGGATCAAGATGTTCTCAGGGTGTAGTTCCATGACTTCGAATTTACAAAAAAGTTTTTTTTACCGGAACATCTGCAACAGTTGTCGCTTCTTGATTTGGTGTTGCATATTCACTACTATTCATTTGCTGAAATAGTTCACGTGGATGGTTATAACCGGGACATAACTTACTCGCTGCTTGTCATTCACTTAGGTACTGTAGTTTTCCCTGCACTGCAATTTCTTCTTATATGTTCGTTTGTGCCACAGCTTCCACATTGCAGGCCTTGGCGTTTCTACCAGTTCTGCATTAATCGTTTTATTATTTCTGTTGCTGTTGCTGGTGTAATGCTGTACCACAAGATGTTTTCGTTGCATCAGCCTCATACTGTAGGGCAGGGGCCAAAGTCTTTTTCAATTTCCCGTGTCGTGAAGTTTCAAAGCTTGTTACTTTTCCACGTTGCGATGAACGTCTGCACCACCAGTTGTCCCTTCTAGTCCCGGCGGTAGCACTTCGAGTATCTTTTTCGAGGTACCAAGGACTTATTCTATGTTTTCACTCAATGGATCTGAATTTCAAGGGTATCGGACCGAATTCCTGGTCAGTTTTTTGTTACTAACAATTTAAGTTGCAAAATTAAGTTTTTTCGCGTTTTCGACCAGAGTATAGCTCAAATTTGTTCTCAAAATGCGATTTTATGGAGAAAATACCCTAAAAACATGTGCTACATAATATATATTTCTCGATTAGTTATTGTTTTCAGCGAACTATAAGAATAAAGCCAATTTTTGGTGCATTTTCTATGGATTAATACACTCCATTAGTATACGACCAACCAGCTTGGTGATTGTTTCAAATTGTAACCAATCAGATGATTTTTTAAGTTATTAAGCGCTAGGTAGTTTTTTATCGACCATAAAAATGCCTGCAGGAATGCGTAAAATATATGATATGGTTGTGAAATTTACTGTTTTTTATTAATCTCCCTAAAATTTTTTAAATCAGGATAATTTTATTTTTAATTCACTTAAATTTTGTTGCATCCTGGAAAAAAAACTCTCGATCAAAAGCATATGATAAGATTTTATTAATTCTCTGTATGGGGAAATTATTATTCGTTGTTACGTTGAATAAAGCACATGCAGTTTTGCGAAATTTTGGTCTGTGATTGAGAAGCACGAAACCACCACAAAAATTACACTTTTGATGTCTAGTTTTTTCTTCTCTCATGAATTACTCTCATGAATTACTTCCTAAGAGGATCTTCTGACAAGGGCAATTTTGTCGATGAAGAACTCAATTTTCAATTAAATAAGAGGTAGAATGAGACTAACATATTTTTTATTATGATTATCTTGTTGGCGATTGATTTCGACAAATTGTCATTATCAGACAACAACAACGTCAATACAAATTAGGATGGAACGTGGATGAAAAACATACTTTTTATGCAAGGTTAATATCTTCTAAGTATGATGGCCATGTTCCTTAAAATTTCTGTAATTAACCCGATTTCATTAGCAAAAAGTCGAAGCTTTGATTTAATACACAATCCTGACAATTTTTAAAGTTTTTTCTGCAAACCACCCACCCTATTCCGTCATTTCGTCTATTTCATTCTTTTTTTAGTGGTGGTTTCCGTTATAACCCTTCACAGTCACAGTACACGCAATCATTCTGAACGACATGAGAAAAGAGCACAAGTAGGTACTGTAACGGAAATGCTCCAGACATGACGTCGCCTTTGGCGCTCTGGAATTTTCTACGCGCGCGATTATTCGAGAATGTACTAGACTTACATTGCTTGCGTGTATAAATGGTTGCGGACCGAACATCGCGGCGTTAGTCTACTATCGAACGAGATCGAGTACGGACGAAACATAGAGCGCGAAAAGCTGATATAAATTTCGAAGTGTGTGATATAAATAATCGATATAAATTGTACGGATTTTATAGTGTTTTAGTTTTGTTTAATAAATATTGATATAAATCGAACCCGAATTTATAAATAACGTTACAGTACCTAAAATTAATAGAAAAAATTTCGTTTCTATTGGTTCTGAAGCTAAAATCAACTAGAAGGTTAATTACCTATATTTCTGAATAATGCCTCAATACTTTTTTTCCAAAAAACTTGCTACCTCGGCTCGGGACGGTAGTGCAAATAATGTTGGCACAGAGCCTTTCAGTATTCGTATAACAAAATTAGATCAATATTGCAGTATTAGATAGTCCTAAAGCGTACTCTTAATACTTATTTGTCAATCCAAAATAATATCTTAAAAATCTATCTATGCAAGCCCTTAAGGTGAGAATACGGACGCGTATTTCAGCGCGGAATTAGTTACATTCATTATACGTGAATTTAATTGTACTGCTAGTTTTTACTGTACGTCTGCTGAATATTTTCCAGCTGATTTAATTCAGGGTCGGAAGATTAGTTAACGAGGTAATATCTTTGATTATTAATTTAGTAATATAATTGAGAAATAAAATATGCTTTATATTCTTGCATTCAAATCTTTGTACAGGATTGCCCTCTAGTAGATAGTACATATATCAACCATTCTCTTTTACAGAATTCAATTTTGCGTATAAATAACAGTACTTATTCCGTTTGTGTTCGTGAAGCTTACTTCAACAAAAGATTATTAGGTGGCGCAAGTTACATTAAAAGCAAATAAGGTTCGAATTAATACGCCACTACTTCCATCAGGTGCCGCATTAATTCTCAATTCCGTTATTTGTGTCAAGGCATCAAAGCTCGTAAAGCTTTATCAAAATATTTACTTTTTTCTTCTTCTAAATTTCGTGTTGTTAGATGAAATTGAGAATGTGTTATGAGTAGGAGTACAGTATAGTCCGACTACTAATCTAATTTCATTAAATTATGAGGTGTTGATGATCGTTACAATGCTTAAATTGTTTACTGGTAGGGCATTTATGGTACCTATCGAATTAGTAAACTGTTTTAGAACCCGCGATGTTTTGCATTTCTCCAACCTTAGAAGTTTCTCAATGGTTTTCTAAAATTCATACACACTTTTAGTGTTACTTTCCACAATCTTGTAGAAAAAAAATTGATTATATTATTAAGGGGCAGAGTAAAGCGATGCAAGCTTTATAGGGGAGTCGATGGTGTCCGTCTCTCCGTGAACACGATAAACTATCAAACGATTTGGTTCAAACTTTGTAGTTGACCTATATGCCACAAGTAAAAAGTCTATTGAAAATGGGTCAAATCCAATGACCCCTTGGGGTCACGCTTTTTTGTCTCTGCCAAACGCTTGAACTTATTCATTTCAAACTTTGCACAGTTGACCTATATGCCATATGTAGTAAGCCTGTTGAAAATGGGACAAATCCAACGACCCCGCAAGGTCACGTCTCTCTGTCTCTGACAAACGCTTGAACTTATTCGGTTCAAACTTTGCACAGTTAACATATATACCACATGTAACAAGCCAATTGA